CTCCCCTTCCCCAGAAGTGCATCGCCATGTGCATGGACCGCTACATGGACGCCTGGAACACCGTGTCCCGTGCCTACAACTCGCGGCTGCAGCGAGAACGAGCCAACATGTGACCGCGACCCGCCTGCAGGCCACCCCCTCACCCCTTCCCCCTCCTGTTCGCATAAATGCTGTTTGTGAGGCGGGGGCCAGCCTGTGCGTACTGCCTGCCACAAGTTTCCGAGGACGAGACTGGTGCCGGTACAGTCGGGACTCTGCCCGTCCCTCCCCTCCGCGCACACCTGCCAGCGAGTGTAGTCTGGTCGGGGGCCCTGGAACTTAAAGTACTGGCTCCTCCGGCATCGCCCCAGGTGCGCCTGATACCGAGTTAAGGCCTGTGGACTCTGCCCGGACCCTGGCCTGGTAGGGGAGGGTTCTTTTCCCGTTGGGGTTCGAGTAGGTGATAAATGATAATGAGGCTGAGGTTAACAGCATAAATTTTACTCAGTGACCAAAGCTTGGAGAAGAGGGAACAAAGTTCACCAATCAACTTCTCGTCCACGTGGCGAGAGGGATTTTATTTTAAAGACCAGAGGGTGGGGGGTGAGGCTAGGATCCGCTGGCGTATACGTTAGTCTACGGGTAAAGAGCCGGGCTTTTTCCGACGGAGGGGGTTGCCACCCCATTTTTATCTTTTTTGGTCCGTATCTGGTCCTGGCTGCCCGTGGGTGTGTCATTTAATGTTCTGACGTAGTAAAGTCATACAGTGAGACTCGGGGTCTGTCAGAGGTCAGATTGGTCGCCGTCTTAGTTCCGGCTGGTGTTGGTGCGTGTGTGTGTGTGCGCGCGCGCGTGTAGCTTTGTTTCTTGTCTCTGGATTGTTTGGCTTAAAGACGTGTGTATTCCTGCTGAAGGTCCGGTGGGGTCGGCAGGTCGTGAGCAAGGACACTCCTGCTAACGGTGCAAGTTGATGAGTTTTGAGCAAAGACCTGGAGCATCTCTGGCAACAAAGCCCCCTCCTTCCTCGTTACTGCTGCTTGTCCTTGGAGGGCACTGAGGGGCGCGGGTCTCTATCCTGAGGCTGCTTCCTGCTGAGCCTGGGTGTGGTGTTCCCTTAGACTAGAGGAGCAGAACTGCTCCCTAATTAGCCTGAAAGAATCCTGTCTCCAGGCTGCAGCCCGAGGCACTTGTACCCTAGTGTTAGTGTCACCTGCAGTTTGATGGCTTCACGCCCAGTACTAACGACGTTGACAAAGCAGTGAAGGAGGCAAGGCCCGAAGATGACCAGGAGGAAATAACAGTGACCGAGAAATGGAAGTAACCAGGTTAAACGGGGAGGCGCTGTGTGACTCTGTTCCAGACGGAGCTTGGATCGGGACCTTGAGTGTGAACACCTGCGTGACCACTGAGCTTGCTCGTACGTCTCTTTCGTGTTTATTTCCACCTGACCAGAGGTGTTGATGTACGTGCGGGTCTTGTTAGTAACTGCGCCTACCTCCCCGCTCAGCCAAGAGATGGTCCACGAGTCCAGAGGAGTACGGAGTCCTTGTGAGGCATGCTGTGGATCTCTGGATACTTACTCAAAGGCGTGAGGTTTTTGTGGAGTGGTTTCATGATAGGTGAAAACCCCCCGGGGGCCACCAGTCCAGGAGCAGTCCCCACTCCTGCCTAGTTGGGTTGTAGTGCCTTTTTGTCTCGGGGCTGGGTGATAGTATGACTGGTTATGCCTAGTTCCTGAGAACTTAGCCGGCTTGGCATGCACTGTGCGCAAAATGGGTTTTACCTAAGGAGGGTGAGGCTAGAGTCCGTCCCAGAGAAGGGAGGGAAGAGTTGGGGTGGTTCTGATGGGGCAGTTCGTTCACTCTCAGGCCACAGAGGAACAGGTGTGAGGGGTGGGGTGCCTGCCTGGTGCACTTCTGAGAAGCTGAACCACCTCCGTAGGTAGCCAGCCCAAAACAGGGTGTCCTTGCAGTGTGGGGAGAGAGGCCCACCTGCATAGCGGGGGTCCCTGGGGGATTCTTGACTAGTGGCTTTTCCCCCAGCCCTAGGAGGGCCAGGCTGCCGGCATCCCTCCCCTCCCCACTGAGCACGTTTCCTGTCTGGTCCCTGTATGTATTCAACCAGTTGGTCCAGAGGGCACCAAGTGGTGAGATTTCCCTCGGAGTCAATCCCAGGGGCGCATAAATCGTGGGGCAATGGAAGAGGCATTGATCAGAGTCCAGAGCAGCCCCAGGTGTTACTGCAGGTTCCTCCCATTGGTTGGGGTGTGGTGGGGGCAGTGGCAGCAAGACTGGTCAGAGTGGTGGCACTGGGAAGTGAGCGCTTTGTGTTCCTTGCAGATGTTAACGTGAGGAGTCAGGTACGGGCAGGGAAGCTGCGTTAGGGACGCGGTGTGAACTTCAGGAGGGGCAGGTGTAGCAGACCCGCCAGCCAAGGTGAGAGTGAGGTGGTTGTTCTCAGGGTAAAATGTAGCAGCCGTAATCCATAGATGTCACTTGAGGGTTGGGGTGACAGATCTGGCACTGGGACAGGTTTTGTCCAGGGGCTGTAATTTACTAGTTCATTGAGTCGCCGTTCTGCGTGGACGGTTGTCAGAGAGAGAAGAAAGAACAGACAATGATGGCCACTCATCCTGCTCCCAGGATTAATGTCCTCGGCGTCCAGCAGGGGCAGAGATGTTTGCCAGGGGAGGGGGTTGGCAGAACAGCAGAAGCCAAGTGCGGCCAACCACTGCGCCTGTCCCCCACGTGACTCTCCTGCTGGTAGGTTTGTCCTTTGAAAAGTAACCTGAAGCTTGACAGGTTCCAGGTGTGCTGAGGGGGAGGCCCAGCGGCTTTCCTGTTGTCTCCACTCGGGTGAGGTGAACCCACGGGGCGTGCCTTGTGGTTCTAGGGCAGAATGAGCGGCGGGATCGCTGGTTAAGGTCCTGGGTCTCCCTGGTCCTGTGGATTTCCAGCCTTCCGTGTTCTCAAACCCAGTCCCCAGGGGAGAGAGGACGTAAAACCGTGTCAGGAGGGGAAGGCGGTTCTGGAGTCCCACACGCTTGTAAGGCTTTGACTTTCCCTTATCCGTAGGTGTCTTTCAGTCGGTCCCCACCCCTGAGGTTGGCCGAGCAGCTGGTCCTGTAGGGGTGGGTCTCCTGTGCGTGAGCGCGTGTGGACTCAGCCTGCGCGTTCCTGCGGGGGCTCTCCACGTTCTCCAGGTGCTGTGGGGAGAAGGGGACCAGGGTTGATGAGGGTCTTGACGTAGTTTGAGCTTATGTGGAGGGTTTGATGTGTTCTTTTTGCTTTCCTGAGGGTTGTGGTCTCCACACGGCATGCACACCCCGTTAACTCCTAGGGCTCTAGGAACTCCCTCAGTAACTTGGGAAACAAAGCTGGGCCGTTGTCACTCTGGATGGACTTGGGGAGCCCAGACTGAAGGATTAATTCCGTGAGCGGGGCCTCAGAGACCTCCGAGACAGTCTCGGTTCGGGTGGGGATGCCTCCATCCAGCAGGAGAAGCTGTCAGTCAAAACCTGCAAATATCTAACCTTTCTTTGTGCCCAGGGCATTACCGTAAAGTCAGCTTGCCCGTGTTGACCTGGATATGTGCCTCTGTGCTGGGTAGGGTCACTCCCTTGACCTTGAGTGTTGGGGTTACTCTGGGGGCAGATAGGGCACGCTTCACCCACCTGTTAAGGAGACTCCAGAAATTGGGGGTAGTCATGGACAGGTGGGGCCTTGACACGGGCCTGCTGTCTGCGACGGGTGCTCCGGGAGCTTCCCGGAGGGCCTGGAGCGCGCTGGCCGGCAGGAGGGCCTGCGGCCCACGACCGCCGACCATCCACCCCGGGTGTTCTGGGCTTCCCCTTCAGGGCTGTATATGGGGGGGTAGGAGTTAGGGCCTGGGGGGCTGGTAGGAGCATCTGAAGCCTGCCCGCCCTCAGCTGCTTGCTTAGCTGCCGAGTCCGCCCTGTTGTTCACTGTCACTATTTCTGCTTCTCCCTTCTGGTGGCGTCTGCCGGGAGTAACCTCCTTTGCCAGGAGCATAACCTCCAGCAGCCACATAACTCCCCACCCCTGTTCTTCACCTCTTTACTCCCTGAGGCCAGCAGTCCCCTCGCCTCCAGATGGCCCTGTGGGCATGGAGGGCTGAGGAGGCATGTTTAGAGTCAGCCGGATCCTGACCGCTTTCCTTCCCCGGTCCTAGTGCTCTGATGAGGGCAGTTAACGCGACCTTCTGGGCAGGGCCACCCCCATGTGGGTGGTGGGATCCATCTGTGAGCCGGTCTAGCTCCAGGGGAGCTCTGGGGCAGGCCTGCTGGGGTCACGGGGACGTCACCGACAGGTGTTAGGAGCTCAGCCTGGACGTGGAGGGCTCGGCCAGGGGTAACAGGTCTGCTCTCTTCTCGTCATGGGGGGCGGAGGGGGGCTCCAGGTGGTCAGGGGCTGCCCGAAGCTGATTGTGAGCCTCCTTGAGGAGCTGAGAGGTGGCAGCTGCAGCCGTGCGTATGGGCCCCCTTTAGCGCTTGGTTCAGTTGTTCAGAAAAATAGGCCACAGCCTGAGTCGGAGGCCGCAGTCTTGTGAGAGCCCCGGGGCGGGTCCTCCTGCCTCCTGTGCCCGTGGATGGAAGGGGCGGCTCGGGTCCGGGGAGGCGAACGCGGGCTCTCATGAGCTGGTCCTTCGGTTCCCTGAACACCGGTTGCTGTCGGGGGTCCACGCGAAAGGGTCAAGGTCCTTCCCTCTTAACTTCACACGAAGGCTCAGCACTTAGAGTCGGGGAACCACGCGTGCAGAGCCTGGCATCCCCGGGAAAGCCCGCAGCCGGCGTCGCACACGAGGGGGGCCCCGGCGGGCTGGCCCCGCCTCTCCCCGCAGACCGCGCTGGCCCTTTCTGCAAGGGGCCTGAGTGTCCTGCCCGCGGGAGGGAGGTCTGCGCTTTTCCTCTGGAACAGTCTTTCTGTCTCAGCCAGATGGTTTAAGACATGTGATGGCTGGAAGCTCTTAGATGGGGCGGGGACTGGACTGCCATCCGCATCTTGGGGAATCCTCAGCTAAACCTTCCAGAAGGATGGGGGAGGTTTTAAATCCCTGGGGCAGTCATCCAGCGCAGGTGTTTTCTCGCTGTCTTACCCTGCCACTCAAAGGTGAACGTGAATTGAGACTCTGGGGCCAGGGGCACGTGGATGAGGGTCTTGTAAATCCACCCCTGAGTTACCAGGTCCCCTCAGGGCTTTGGATGGGAAGCAAGGCAGGAGGGATGGGCCCCAGGGTGTGAATCTCCTCAGTAGCTTCATTCATGGCCCAAAGGCCCTGAACTGGCCAGCGCTTCCCACTTGGCTCCTTTCCTGCAGAGCAGGAGTGTTGAGGGGGTCGGGGGGGTCTCAAGAGCCCTGGCTTGAGCGGCCTTTCTATTCTAGGGTCAGTGCCCGCCGGGGTTTCCTTGCTCGGGGTCTTGTTTGTTGTCAGGGTGCTTGTGGCCTAGTCGCAGCTGGGCTAGGACTGGTGGTGCCCGCCCCAGTCCTGCCCACGGTGGCGTCGTGGGCCCACGCGGACGCTGACGGACTGACCCCTCGTGGTTATTGGGGCTGTTCCTCTAGGGCTGCGGGGTGGAAGGGGCTCTCGAGTGTCCTGGTGGTCAGGTGTCTGGCTCGGAGGTCAGTGGTAGCTCCCAAGTTGTATAACTTCTCTTCCTGGGCATTCGGGACTCGTAAGACAGTGAGATGACACTTTGGCTTCCAAGTCGCACTCAAGGGACTCCAGAAAACCGCTCTCCTGGGGCTTCCTCCC